GCAGTCTTGATAATTGATTTGATATGGCACCCTTTTGAATATTAACTGCATTGCAAAGTTAAGTCAGGCATGTGCAGAACGCAAAGTGGGTGTGGGTGGGTGGGGAATGGTAGGTAACAACTAGTGCAAGAGCTTCATTTTGCCAGTGTTACTTTAGTGCTGCCTGTCTTGATCTTGTTCGGCAGAACTCTAATGATGATCTGTTCAGGGATGGACTGTGGATTGCAGGTATTTAGTATATTTGTTACTAAACCCTCTGGGTTGGAACCAGAGAAAAGCATGCAGAAAGGGGATTGCAGAAGCTGACCTCTGCTTCCCCCAGAACTCCACTGCTGAGTCCAGGGCTCTGTGTGTGTGGCTGAGGCGATCTCTGAAACCTGGGCCGTGACTAGGCAGGACACAAGCCTGCTAAGCCTTGTGGTCTGGTGCGTGGATGCTAATCTTGTATTCCATGTAGCAAGGCTAGATCTGGTCACTTCACAAAACAATATTTCATGTCCAGCTGTTACAATGCTAATATACCTAAAGGGCATGGGAAAAGTTGCATTTGTATATGGTTTAGTCATAGAATTGTAGAGTTGGGAGGTTCTTCTAGTCCAACCACCTGCAGTGATGCAAAGGAGGAAGAAATTATTGAAATTTGTTAAGCATTGTAAACCAAGAAGCTGGTGCAGAGCTGTTACTGAAAAGTATTTGCTGAATGACATCCTTGTGTAACAAGTTTTGTAACTTCAACACTGTTCGACCCTGGCACATGTAGGATTTTGCTGTTTGCTTTTACTGTTTTTGCTCAATCATGCTTTGGCAACAAGCAGTAGAAATAAGCGGTAACATACTGGTAACATGTACTGGATTTCAGCCCGAGCTAAGTCCTCATGTATGAAATTTAGGCATTTAACGGAAGCAGGAAGTTGGTGCAGCAAGACTTCATTTCTCCAAACTGTAGTTTGAATTTGTTCTCTGGGGATTATTGGTGCTTGGAAACGAATTTAATTGGCCAGCAAATGGCTTTGCAAGCCCTCCAAAGGCACCATTATTAGATTGTCATTCCAGTTATAAGAAGTTTGGGAGGATCTCTAGAATAACTTCGCAGGTATGTGAAAAGGTTGCCAGTCATTAAAAAAATTGTGTAGTCTTGCTTGTTTCACTGGGAAGCTTGTGCATTATGTGCAATGTAATCTCACCTTTTAAAATAAGATTTTCCTTTTTTAATAGCTATATTGCAGTGCTTGTTGAAGGAATTTATATTTCATGATAGTGAAAGAATAAGTATGTATGTAATGACCAACCAGCAATCACTACAGGACTTGAAGCTTTCAGCCTCTAGTGGCTTTGCGTTTTTTTCTTCAGCACTATTCTCAGAGAACACATTTCACATATGTGTAGAAACTGCTGCAAAGAATATGCAAAACATTCAGAACTAAAACTTTTTTAAAGACCTTTGTCCTTGCTGCTCCCCCCCCCCCCCCCCCCGCTTTTGCTGATCAAAGTTAGTTCCTGGGCGAAGCCTGATTTGGAGCTAAGTACACTTAAAAAAGCTGATACAAACTTGGAGTGCTCGGAACAGGTGAAAGAAAATGTAATAAGAAAGGCAAAAAATCACAAATCTTATCAGCTGCAGGAGGATGTGTTTTAGGAGCCCTTTTGGACATTCCATTGTCAACTGAATATTGTGTGTGTGTTCTTGTCCTCTCTCACACACACCTTTTGTGTGAAAGTTAATTCTCACAATACTTCAGGCATCTGTTATTGTGGAGAGGTGGAAACTTTAAAAAGAGGTACGAGGGAGAGCTTGAGGTTACTCATCTCCATCGCCAATAGTTAATAAACACAACCTAACTTCAAGGCTACTCTAGAAGCTATAACCTTATTGGAACTTTTCACCTGCATGAAGAAAGCAATCCAGTTGCAATTCTTGGACTGAAGAGTAGTTTTTGTTGGGTCCCGTATTTTCTCAAAATGTATCTACAGATTCACTCCTATCTCCACCGATTTCTCAGGGTAGAAGTGGATGGGTCCTGCTCAAAAGCAGACCCAGTTCTATGCCTCTTTCCTTAACCATAATGTTTAGTAAGGGATTCATGTGATGTGATAATCGCATTGTGCACATCCCTGTCCCTGCTATATATCAATGGATGTTAGGGGAGCAGGAATAGGTTCAGCTCTGGCTGAGGTGTTATTTATTATATACTATAATGGTAATCAGAATACTCTTTTGACAGCTTTCCCCAGGGATGGGAAGGGAGGAAGGCAAGGTTTTAAGACTTTTTAAGTGTATCTTGTAAAGTTGTTAAAACCTTGTATATGGTTTTGATTCCTTCTTAATATAACAGAACAACTACAGCAGTCTTCTTAATCTTCTGTCTTCCATATCTTGTTGGATAACAACTTCCATAGTCTCTGATTTGGTCATGCTGGCTTGGGCTAATGGGATTTGGAGTCCCAGCATCTGGAGGGTGGTAGGTTAGGGAAGCCTGATAATATGTTATGTATTATTATTATTTTAATGTTAGAATTTGTGCCTTTGGTATGCCTACCTTTATACATAGTTCTATTAAATTATTTATGACAATGGCATGCAGAATCAGAGATCTAGTCGAAAATATAAGGAAGAAATATAATGTGAATGGGAAGATGGGGTACCAATTTCTGGTTGAGGCTTCTGCTTTATCCTTTGCATTTCTGTACTGTCACAAGTCTTCACTTCTGCTAGTGAAGTAGAACAGTTTTGCCATGACTATGCAGTTGTATGACACTGGATACATTGGGGGGAGGCGGAACTGATTGAGACTGGATTCAAACGGAATGTTATGACCTGTGATTTAAAAACCAGCTATGTTGGAGTGTACCTTACTCTTGAGAAAGAATCCTCTCAGTCACTCACTGTTTTACCCATGTCTCTGTTCTAAGCCTTTCGAACACGATCGGAGGAGGTGAAGCCAGTTCATATTTTGGGAGACATAGGTGTTTAGTTCACAAAGCTATACTGATGTTTATTTGTACTGTGATCTTGGTGGGGGCAAAATTATATATGTGGCAATCCATAATGCTTCCTTATGCCCTGTTTTCTTTTCTGTTCTATGGACAGGGTATGGTACTAAAGCCACTCCTTGATGCTAGAGAGACTCCAGAAGGCTAGACTCTGGAATTCAACTTCCTTATTCTCTGGCCTGTGCTTCTCTGTGGCAAGATGGTCAGTGCTTGTTCAGTATCATTATACTGTCTTAATAAAGAGCCATATCTTCCTGTGTGTTGCTGCAGATTATATTTCTGTTGTTCAGGAGAGCCCATCTTCCAGAGAGCAGGTTCTTGAAGCTGGGGGGAAAGTTAAATTGCCAATGAGACAAAGTGTGGTTATAAGCCAGCCTGATCCCTTGAAACATGCAGACAACTGAATACCTGGAAGCTCCTCATAATATTTTTGGTTTCTGACTTGAGGGTTCTTGGACTTCATAGTTATTTAAACTTACTGATAGAGAGAGTGCATTATTGAAAAACTGTCTGTGGGTTACATTGATGTTGGGTACATATTTTGAATGTTGGTGTTTGCAATGAGGTGCTGTTAAAACAATGAAAATATACTTATCCATAGGATGAATTACTCCATGGGAGGCTGCATAGTTCTTATCAAATTTGGCACCTACTAAGAAAACGAGAAGAGCCTGCTGGATCAGGCCAATGGCCCATCTAGTTCAGCCTCCTTTTCTCACAGTGGCTGAACAGTTGCCCTTCGGAAACCCAACTAGCAGGATTTGAGCACAAGAGCGCTCTCCCCTCCTGTGGTTTCCAGCTCTCCAAATCAAGGGTGTGGCACCTCCTGCCCAGGGGCCAAACCTGACCCACCAGGCCATTTTGGATAAGCCACACCCACCTACCTGATGTCAGGTATGGGGCGAGTAAGGGTAGAGCTTCAAATGAACAATTGGGAGCTTAAGGTGGACTTCTGATTCTTCCCTTGCTGGAGCATTATGATGTCTGATGACTGATGTAAAAAGTCCATTGCACAGCACTTCTGAAGTTCTTGACAGCCAGCTGTTTATCAGGTGCTTGGGAACTGCAATGCAAGGGCTTTGCCAGCCCTGCGCTTAGCAAAGCTCTGAGCATTGGGCTTGCAAAGCTGCCTTCTGCAGGGATTGATTGTGCAACCAAGTTCCCCAAGGGGATTTGGTCAGGCAGGGGTGAACTCATTGCCCACGGTGATAGGTGATAATTTCAAGCTTGCTTTCCGCAGGGATTAGCTGTGCAATTGAGTTTCCATGGGGAGCTGGGTTGTACAGCTGATCTAGCAGCATCTCTCTCTGCCCCACATCTTACATACATGAGGTATGTTTGTGGGGTTTGCGAAAAATGGTATTGGAGGACACATTGGGTTCTGTGCCAGGCCAAATCTGGCTGGAGGTTCCACACCCTTGCTTTAAGAGCCTAGCAGTGGTCTAGCTTTATAGGAAGGGGTTCCCAAAAGACAAGTGTGTCCAAACTGCAGGAAACATTTCATTCTAATGGTACCTTTTGCAGAATGGAACATGGTTTTGGCCCTCACCAAGGAATGTATTTATCAAACCTAAAACCTTATATAGTGGGGGGGGGGTTGGGGGGTGCAAACTCCAGTAAATACCAGCATGCAGACTTAAAGAAGTTATTGTGGTGGTAGTAAGAGATAAAAATTGCTTACCAAGGGACTGTGGGGCAGGGTGAATGGGGGGGGGCGGGGAATGGTGCTTGCATATTTTCACAGAGGTTTACAAGAATCTAAGAAAGCCATACTGTTACACTGGGTTCCTTCACCCCATGGAATTGCTTAGAAATTGTGGGAAATTTATATCCCCTAATTACTCCATTATCTGCCCCACTGAGTTTTCACACTAGTCTTAACTAGTTTGTAATACGGCCACAGCCCACTTCTTTTTAAATGGGAGAGGGATCTCCAAAGCTTAACAGAATAAATATTCCTGACCTTTTAAGTCTTGTTATTTGCTAATACACATCTTCTGTTTTCTCAGCAGGTAACATCGAAAGGTGCCAGCTTAAATCCTAATGCAAAAGTATGGCAGGAAAGCATGCAAGGAAACTCTGAAGCTGCACCAGCAACTAATGGCACTGAGCAATCATGGCAAGAAACAGCAGCTGTGCCGGGAAATAGTACAGAGGGTAAGATGTCAAGACCATACTTCTAAATATGAACAATGGCTTAATCCCTTGCTTAGCTAGGATTGTGGTTATAGTGTGACTCTAAATCCAGCAGTAAGAAGCAACCAGTTCTTTTGTCCTTGAAAGCACAGTAGCTGCTTCTGGGTGCTGGTTTTCTGTAACAGAAGGCATTACTTCAGCTTCAGAAGAGGCAGCTGGTTTGCTTGGATTAGGAGTGGGGAACATGTGGCTCTCCAGATGTTGTTTGACTTTAACTCCCATCAGCCCCAGCCAGCATGACTAGTGGTTAGGGATGGTGGAAGTAGCATCTGGAGAGCCGTGGGTTCTCCAGCCCTGGCTTAGATAGAAATATATGTGAATTTGTGAGGAAGTGTATTGAAGATGTTCATATGGTTAGTACTCCTGAATGGGAATGTTTCTAAAAAGTTACAAAGGCCCAATGATGACCCAAGTATCGCGCTGAGAGGGAACACATTGCTAAATGTACAGAAATGAATCTCTTTCTCACTTTGCCTTTTTCTGTTCCCTTTGTTTTCTTTTCTCACCTTTTCCTTGAGCTTTTTTCATCATTTCTGAACTTTAGTGAACATGTGACCCTGTGAACAAAAAGTTTGAAAGCTGAGGGCCATATACAACCTAAGCTAATTGAGTTATTCCTTAGATCATGTGCGTGGTAAACACATTGGCAAAATAATGCCTACACAATTTAAGAATGGTGAAAACCTAGGCAGAATTGTGATATTTAGGATTATGCACAGCTTGAAAATTATTTTCATTTAAGAAGTAAAGTTTTCTCACTTGGTTCTGAATTCTTATGGCACCAGCCACTTTTAGTGCTTTCCCACATACTTGTAGTGGAAATAGATTTTTTGAAATGTAAGTAGACATGCTTAGGATTTTTAAGCATGTGCAGTCTACATGAAATGTCACAATGCCTCTAGTTGTGTGGCCTCTAGTTCTTGGTGGGGAGAAGTGTGAAATGTAGCCCATCATCCCTTGCATATTTGAAGTTTAGGGAAATGTAGAATTACTGGAATAAATTCTACCTATGGGAGATTCTCTGCTGCAAGTAGTTGCTGTTTTCAAGGGAGAAGCAAGGTTGGTGTTAACCTTGTTTTGCTTGATTGTTCTGTTGCCTGTTAAACTCATACTTCAATGAACAATTGTTTCAGGTTTCAGTTTCCTGCTAATGCAGTGGGTTCTGGTGCAAACAAGATCTTCGAAGGAATTCATTTTGTTAGGGAAGGTAGTTCAGGTAGACCAGAGAAGGTGGGTAGGGAAAACTGGTGTCTTTACGGAGTTTGCTTTAGCAGCTTCAAAATCTGTATTTGCCAGACTTTCTATTCCAATTTTTTCCTTTCTTCGTGTGCTGCATGAGGGGCACATACAGCTCCAACACACAAACCAGTCTTTCGCCTTAATATTCTTCACCCCATGTGCTTGTCTTTTCTACCTCCCTTTCCTGAATTCCCACATTGCTGCTTAAACCTGTCAAGAACTTGGGCATTTAGAAAGAAAGCCGTTTGAAGGGAAACTACTGTTGGTATTTTCCCCTGGGTTGCCCTTATAAACAGCTCTCTTAGTGAAGAGAGCTTGATATTTATTTGCAGGTGTCATCCATTCATTGTTACTAGGAAATCATAGGAAACTTAGGAAATAAAAAATGTCACCTAGAAAATTTTCTACATCACTGTAACACATGAGCATGTTTCACACACAGTTTTCTGCTTTCCCAGAAACACGTTGAGTATTAAAACTGGTTATTTTAATCTTGGCTATTGGCAGTTGTGATCACTTCTTAGATAAGAACTCGACCAGTTAATTAAGTACAGTAGGTTTTGTAACCTCAGCAGTAGTTCAAAGCTGTTCTTATATATAAAATAAGCATGTAATACTTATAAGGAACGCGGGTGGCGCTGTGGTCTAAACCACAGAGCCTAGGGCTTGCCGATCAGAAGGTCAGCGGTTCGAATCTCTGTGACGGGGTGAGCTCCCGTTGTTCGGTCCCAGCTCTTGCCCACCTAGCAGTTCGAAAGCATGTCAAAGTGCAAGTAGAGGGCAGGAAGGTATGCGGTGTTTCCGTGCGCTGCTCTGGTTCGCCAGAAGCGGCTTAGTCATGCTGGCCACATTACCCGGAAGCTGTCTGCTGATGAACGCTGGCTCCCTCAGCCTATAGAGCGAGATGAGCGCACAACCCCAGAGTCGTCCGCAACTGGACCTAATGTTCAGGGGTACCTTTACCTTTATCTTTTACTTATTAAACAATGTACTTTGAATCCACGATTAGTATTTGTCTGTGTTCTAAATTCAGCCTTCTCCATTAATCAAAAGTTGACTGAAACTGGATAAAGGGAGCAAATAATATATAAAAGGCCCTGCACACTGAGTGTACAGGTGTATAAAACTACATTGTTTGTAATGGTAACATTGATGGTTGCCAGGTTTGTTTTTGTTGACATTTGTAAGCTCCTTTGTGAAGGAAATGTCTAAAAAAGTGGGATACAATAAGAATGGAAGGAAATGCATTTTCATTGCTTGCAACCTGAGCTTTTTCCCCATTTATGGCTTTTGTACTTGTGCCAGGTAATGCTGAGGTTGCAGATGATGGTGCTAAGCAGTATGACACAATGTATTCATCTTGTGAAACGTCAAACAGCTCAGGTGTTGAGGAATCTGCGGCTAATGGAATGGTCTTGACACATGAAGAGCTTGGATACCAACTCTATGATGTTTCTGGTAAGTGTCCAGTCTACTTTGCGAGAGCCCCTAAATATAGGTACCTCCCTGTTTTTCTGGATATTCAAATTGTATGTTTTACCGTTTGCATCAGCAATATCCATTACATATATTCTGTGTTAAAGTCCATTCATGTGTACTGCATGGGGATTATCAGCAAAACTCAGATTTAGAATAGTGACATGGTTTATTTGTTTCCTTCCACACAATGCACACACGTGCTTGTCGTTAAAGATGCAGGATGGTCTGACAATCCCTTGAATTTATAGAACCCTCAGGTTTTGTATGACTTTTAAAACTTCCAGTAGGGTTGTGAAAGAGCAGCTTGGAAGACAACGTGTAGAGGTAGTACAGTGGGATATATTCTGAGAGTGAGATCAAAGAACTACTGACAGTGGCACTTAGGAGAAAGCTTAAGGGAGCCTGGAAGGGAAGCAACAGGTGATGTACTGTTTCAGGGGAAAATAAAACAACCTTTCTAAGAGTGTCATGCAATGTTATAGTCTTTGTCAGTGACCTTGTAGACTTGCCTAGTGTCTTCAGAAAGTATTGACTCCTCTCCTTGGATTAAATTTGAAAGATCATGTTTATAGACATATACAGCTGACACTAGTATTTTTTTTACATAGTAAATCCTTATGAAGATGGTGCCCCCCCCCATTGTTTACAGTCCTTAGGCAATATAGTCACACTGCAGTAAAATTTGCTACCATAAATGACACTGCATTTTGAATGAAGCACATATAAACCAGTTCCTTCATTCAGGTGTGGCCATGAACTTTCCTTTGTGTACCTGGCAGTGTGTAATACTTCAAATGAGGGGTGGTAGGGATTAATTCTCAGGACATTAAGTTCTGACTGGGAAGGAACTGATGCTCCATGTATGCTTTTCCTTCCCATGAGATGTCTGTGCTGTATGTAACGTGTAATAACAAGGAGCAGGCATCATGCATATATTCAGGGCACTGTTTCTTTTCACAGACTGGGATGGGGGAAAAGATGGGAGTTCTGCATCTTTGAAACTACCCAAAAAGAAAATTGACATATCAAATCCCAAGATGGCAGTTTTCACCCTCATAGTAAAATAGTTGGATGTTTTCTCAACTTCTTCAGGGTAAAGATGTGCCACAAATTACTGTATGTTTTGCACCTTCCTTTGTGTCATAATGGTCTTATACCTTTCCAGGCAGTCTCCTTTATATCATTTAAAAGCTGAATGAGCTGAGACCAGAATCAGTTTGAACTCACAGTTGGATTCAGATTAACCATAGCTTGGCATCCATAGGCCTCTAACACGTCTCTATTGTGAGGCTACTAATAGCTACCTTTCCTCAGTTACAATATTCATGTTAACTTGAAATGAAAAGAAACTCTTAATTTTATGCCAGCTTTTAAACCATGGTGCCTGGTCAATCAGGCAGTAATTTTTTTCTAAACCAAAAAGCGGTTGTTTTCACACTCATCATCCCTGTTTCTTTGCTTGTGTCACAAGTGACTTAATTGGACATGTTTAGGGTAGGTGAAATAGTAAAATATTTTGTGGGTTAGAAGGCCTGACTTCATAAGTCCAGTATAAGCTTTGAAATGTTTCTGCTAGCTGAGGTGCGGAGGAGCTATAAACTGATTGTGTCATTAATAAAGCAATCCAGGAATTTCTGTTTAGGGCAGAAATATCAGAATGGATTTTCCCATGTGCTAGATCATCGTAATAAAACCACTTAATAACAATAAATTTATATTTTTTTGTTCTACTAAAAGTACCTGTTGCAGTGCTGGGGTACCTCTAGCCTCCCATTTGGCCAAGCCATGCCCAGCTTCCATTATACGGTGTCAGGTGTGGGGCAGGTCATGACATTTGGTGCTTTGTGGGCTGTACCTTGGTCCACACATTTGATTTCACCTAATTCCTAGTTATTCAGTGGGTGGCCTGCCACACAGGAGGTTGGGAAGATAATGATCTGCCAGTTTATCACTTCTGACCTAGAGCTATGTGCAACATAATGGTAAAAACATATTGTCAGGTGCTGTGTGGTGGTTGCTCGTGAGTAACCAGGCAGGACTCCGACCTGTCTTTTACAGGTTTTATTGTGCAAATTATTTACAGTGCAGATACACAAGTTTCATGTCTGTCTTAGTCACTTGCAGAATCTGGGAGTGGCCTCTTCTGGCTTTCCCCCCAACGTAAGAACTTAGACACCCCAAATCTCTGCCTCCCCTCTTTGCGTTTCACCCCTCTGTGCGAGCTGGGCGACGGAAGTGGCATGCGTTCCTCCTGGCCAGCCTGCCTAGGTGAGGCGCTGGGGCTCTTAGCAGCATAGGCGCTGGGGCTCTTTACAACCTTGGCTGGCCCCTTCCCTCTCTTCTCCATTGGAGGTGTGGCTTTTGCCCTCGCTGGAAGAGGAACTGCTCCTCAGAAGCGTAGGAGGCTCTCTGTATCCCAAACGCCCCCCTGCCTCCCTCCCCTGTTCTGATGGCAGTCCCCTGACACATATATACAATGAAAAGCATATACAAGAATACTGTACATTTCTAAGCTCAGTAACAAGATATAATATAGCCAATACCTTAAAGCAAAACTTGTATCGTATATCAGATAAGAAGGATGGCAGTTCTTAAACCTGCACTTATGCCCCCCTCCTCTGTACTTTGGGTGTTTTGGTTTTTGTTTTCTTTGGGTTTTTTAAAAGAAAAAATATTAGTAATTCACTCTCGAATACATTTTTTTCAGATGAAGGCAGCCCCGTCATTTCTCCGGAAGACTTGAAAGAATGTTTGAAGAAACAATTGGAGTTCTGTTTCTCACGGTATTGAACTCTAATGTATTGGTAAATGTAACTAGGGCTAGATATGGGCTCTTGCCATGGTGTACTCCATTTGTTTGTGGGAGTGCAACTTCCATTGGCTCCAGCCAGCAATGGAGTCCAACAGTAACTGGAGGGCAGTTTACCTTTGCTTTAAGGACTCTTATGCAAGTGGTCAATTAAAAAGAAAGCAAATGTTTCCTCTTGAATCCTCCTGTTAATATTTGGCACAATGCTATTGTGACAGAACGAGGTTGGTATTATGCCTCCCCTCCTGACCCAGTCAAGATTCTGAAATTCTTCTTGTAAAAAAGAAATGCAAGTCACTTTTTAAAGTTTTTGTTTGCTTGGTGAAATGTTTTCCTTTCTCCGTTGGGCTTTAGTGCTGTTTTTGTAGCGATTTTATATTGCTCCCTGATAGTTTTTTTGCTAGTTTTTGTGCTCGTCTAGTTTTCTGTTACTTCAGGGTTGCATCCAACAAAGTCCTCCCATTGGAGCAAGGACCTCTGTCTCTGCAATGAACCTGCATCTTTCCTTCTCTCTCCACGTGCCCCCTGCTCCCCCAAGATATGCTCCAGAAGGTTGGGGAAACCTCGGAACAGATTTTGAGGGGTGGCGTGGGAGGGCCCAAAGGCAGAGGAGAGAGGAAGTCCAGTGAGGAGCTGGACATCCTTGCAATAACAGGACATCTTTGCTGGGTGCAACTTACTGTTGTTTTGTATTTTTTATTGATACTGTGAACTGCCCAAAGATGAAGTAGGTTGGATATAAATGTCTATAGATCAGTAGGTAGCTGCTCCTGATAGTTCAGCATTCACTAACCAGGCCAAAACCATAAGGCAGGTGTTTCTTTGTAGTAATAGGCAACACATATTGGTAATACTGTATCAATATTTAGAACAAATTGGTAAAAGGATGTTATGTTGCTCCTTTCATGATGTGTATGATTCCATCCTGTGATCTTGGTATATCTCTGTTACATGAATGTCTACAGTATAGTCCTATACAAAAATATTGTATCTTTAAAAGTTTCTATTTTTTCTTACTGTTTTGAAGTGTTTGATAAAACTGTCCCTATAAGCCACCCTGTTTTCTGGGTATAATTTTACAAAGATGCTTATTATTTATTTTTAGTGAGAATCTATCCAAGGATCTTTACTTGATGTCTCAAATGGACAGTGATCAATTTATTCCAATATGGACAATCGCCAACATGGAAGGAATTAAGAAACTGACAACTAATATGGATCTAATTGTGGAAGTACTAAGATGTATGTCAAACTTTTCGTAGCTGTATTTTTAGATGCATTTACCCCTGGACAAATAGGTGCATTTCTGTATCTGAGAAACATATGTCTGCACCGAAGGCACTTGTTGCTGTTTTTAGCTGCCTTCCACTCCCTTAAAGTGAAGCTGCACTGTTTTATTTGGGACTGCTTTGGTGCCCTTCCTGTACATAAACCTATTATGTTGGAGCTATGTGAAACTGAAGGGAAATAATTACCTTCCCCTTTCATGCCCCAGGGTGAGATTCAATGTAGCTTCAGTGAGTGTGTCCTGCAGTGGGGCTCATTCTCATGTTAACTTTTCTCTCCTCAGAGGTCTGAAGGGCCTTGAGCAAATTTTCATGTTATGGAGGCTGGTGAGAGGTGAAGGAGAATTGCAAGTCCTGTGGCATAAGTGCATTGTGGAAGTGAGAACGTCACTGGATGTTGCCCATAGATTTGTTGCAGTGGGTTTTTCTGGAGTAATTCCTACTTTGGTTTCTACTTCCTCTGGTTGAAACTTCTTTACCAAAAAGGGGAACGATTAACATGAGAATGAGCAGTGCTTGTGGGCACTGAGAATCAAGTGAATTCAGTTACCCATTTCAGATTTTAAGTTGAAAGTTGGGCGAAAGGGTTCATGTATGTCTTTCTTAGGGTCTTGTTGTGTTGTATCTGTTTCTGGCAGTTTAAAAGCTATTCTTTAGCTACTACTTCTTTTTAAATTCAGCTACTCCTATAGTCCAAGTGGATGAACGAGGAGAAAAAGTTAGGCCAAACCACAAACGATGCATTATTATTCTCCGCGAGATTCCTGAAACAACACCTGTAGAGGTAAGAAGACATTCAAGCACTCCATTGATATAACAAGTTGGAAAAAAGTACCATTCTGCAGGGAAACTCATCTGGATAGAAAGGACCAGATTCAGCTGGCTTGGTGCACTTGCAGAAGTCAGCACAAGGGCTCATGGTAGCACAATGAGGTTCCCCCCTTTCCTCCCCTTGCACCACCTTCAAATTCATTCTCTGAGATGTGAGGAGTGTGTGAGGAGATTATTCTGTTGGGCAAACAGAAATGCTTGTCCTGATGGAAAGTTCTCCTTAGCATGGCATTGAGTTCCATTCACAGCAGCCAATCACCTCTCAGGATTAAAGATATTTTAAGATGTCAGTCCTGCAGAAAGCTTTTCTTTTCCCATTGAGAACTTAGAATGATGTGCATTGTAGTAAGGCAATACTCTCTAAGGCGTTATTCTTGGTTAATCACAATAACTCCCTCCAGGCTATCGAGATTTGGAATATTTGGTAGCGATCATTTCCGCTTTTGTAAAGCATAACTGAATAGCATTTGCCATACCTATACTAAATGCACCTTAACAATGGCATTTTAAAAAATTGAGAAGTTAATTTTTTTAGTTGTGAAATATTAATTCACAATAGCTGTGGATAGGGATATTTGTTTTGGAACAAGGTTGCTTTGTTTTGCAGGAAGCCTATTTGACTTAGGAGATCACATGGTGGCTTTACAGATTGTTAGCAGTCTTGTTTGGAAGTTGAAGTAAAGTAATGTTTCTTATTGCGATTGTTAAATGCACTGTTCCACATTTATGTAAGCAGAGTACAGGTCATTGCTAATGTAGGTAACAGTGCTTCACTGAAGTTAAGCATTTTGTATTCCAGTAGGAATTCAAAATATTTAAAAATAAAGATGATAAACATAGTTCTGCATATATATTAATTCACTCTCTTTGACTTTTGTCATAGATGGCACAATGCCCCAGTTGATAATATGTCACAAAAACCTATACAGCAATTGTAATTTACTGAAATAGTCTTTTTTCCCCCCTTCAGGAGGTAAAGGCACTGTTTAAAAATGAAAGCTGCCCCAAAGTGATAAGTTGTGAATTTGCTCACAATAACAACTGGTACGTTACATTCCAGTCAGACACTGATGCACAGCAGGTAAGAAAATCATGTGGTGGCCAGCATTTTACACTGCTATTATATTCTGTCCTCTCCTGGCGGGTGAGGGCAGCCAAGACAGTTATAAACCTATGTATCTCAAAGCAATCATGTAAACGCAGCCAGAAGTTGAGAAGTGGGGAGACAAATTTAAAAGACTGAAGGCAGCTAAGAACACACAACTGATTAACGTTGCCTCCGTTACCTGAGGGGTGTGGGTGGCATAGCAGAATGGGCATATCCCAGCTGATCCAGGGGTGTATTTGCTGCTTTGATATGGGTAGGAAACCCTTTCAGCTCAAGAGGCACATTATCTTCCAGGCAACTTTATTGAGGCCACTTGCCAATGGTGAGTGGCAGCAAAGGAGGGCGGAGCAACAAATCAAATGCAACCATTTTAGAGTAGGCTGGTTTCTAGATACACTCTCACACTCTGTCCTTCATCAAAGCAAATAAGAGGCATTATCAGGAGGTCTAGGACATATTCCAGCCTGGCAAAAGCACACAGGCTAGTGAAGATTGTGTGGGAAGAGTTCTGAGGGCTAGAGGCAAAGGTTTGGAGGACTGCCACCAGAGCGGCCACCCCAGCTTTAATTTAACACTTTATGTGGCAAAGCTCTTAACTGTTCCTAAAGTAACCTCCATAAAAGGAGCCAGATTGTTTATCTTTCTTTTTATTTCAGTTTGTATTTATGCAGATAGTTCCATAAGCTTTCCAATATCTCTGAAGTGTAATTCTATCAAAGCGAGTCTCTCAGTGAATGTTTTTATATCTGTACAGGCATTTAAATATTTACGGGAAGAAGTCAAAACCTTTCAGGGCAAGCCAATAATGGTAAGTTGCCTCAAGTATTCTCGGATCTTAAGTTATATTTCAGTATTTAAATGATTGGTTCAGCACTGTGGCTTTAATACCAGTTTGGTGTAGGTGTAATGTTTCTCTCCAAATTGGTTTATTTTAATCATGGTTTAAAGCAAGGGTCAGGAACCAGCGGGATCCTGATCTTTCTCTCGTCTCCACTTCCCCGCCTCCCACAACCAAGAGGACCAACTTTTAACATTGGGATGGGACTGATGGGGAACTTCCTAGTGCAGCTGATCCCAGCTTCTTGTTGTTTTTTGTAGGCTCTCTTCAGTGGACAACAGTCAGCTGATTGTCACTGCTTGCAGAGAGCTGTGTGCTGCCCTTTGTCAGGGCTTCGATCAGCTGATAGCCAGGCCTTCAAAGTGTCTTGCAGAAGGCTTTGCAGGCACCTTTGATTGTCTGTGCCTGCAGCCCACTTTGGGCCAAGTCACAACTACTTGCCGCATACATGACATTGTATATGATGGTCAGGTGTAGGGCAAGTGGTTATGGCTTGAACAGAGGTTCCCCACCCCTGGTTTCAAGCCTGGTTAGCATTACTGGAGTTGACTACAGTTAAGTCTAATCAGGATTGCATTGCGGACATGGCTTTGAGGCACTTTTTAGTCTTATTCATAGCGCCAACCGAACCGAACAACATTAAACTATGGCCAAAGCAAACCATGAAAGTGGGAGATGAGAGGGTAGCACGAGAGGGGAGAGTCTGCTTCAAGCGGTGCTTTGCAAAGCTGCAAAGAGCATTTTGACAGGTGCACAATCCCACCTTCTGGTGAATCATGCTAATCCTGGTCAATCATGCTCCTCATTCCAGCATTAGTGGAACTGTTTGCTCTTGCTAGCATACCTACTAAGCAGATCTGTCTCAATAATATTGAATGACAGTGTTAGATTAAATAGTCAGTTTTAATTGTTGTGACATTTTGGAAGGAAGGCTTTTATTGGTTATTTGGAATATAGAACTTCATCCCAGAAGCAAACCAAATCGTAAACTTTGTTGAAAGTGCATTCTTAGCAATTTGTAAAAGCTAGTTCTGCAGGCTAACCTGATAGATGAAGGAAGTAGTACAAATAATTGTGGCTTCCTCTTTTCTTTTACTCTGATACAGACCTTTTAATGGCCTTGTCACCATGTATAGTAAATGTTCTGTGGTTTCATCTTCCTTTTGCAGGCCAGGATAAAAGCCATCAACACATTTTTTGCCAAGAATGGTTACCGGGTAGTGGATTCCAGTGTGTATGTTCAACCTGTTCAAACACAAGCACAGTTTGCCTCACCACTGTTTATGCAGCCTGTATATAGTCCCCAGCAGTACTCCATCTACAGTATTGTGCCTCAGACATGGTCTCCAAACCCTGCACCTTATTTTGAAACACCACTGGTAAGCTTATGCTTAAGTTTCATGTGTGAGTCACCTGGGTTTATCTTTCTTCGGTGGCTTCAGAAGAACACTGTTATGTCATTTAAATACCACTTGAGTATTTTTAAAAATAGTCTTTAAGCATTTTCCAGTACTAAATACAGATAAACTGTCTTATTCAAAATTACTGAGTGGTTTTAAAGGCCTGCTTGAAAAACCATGTGATTCTGCAGTGGAATAACAATAATAAATTTGAGCCTTCTCTAGCTATGAACTACAATTAATGGGTTTAATAATGTTCAGCATTCTACTAGTCGCTCTGGAAGTAAGCTACTGAGGATTCGAGGCCTTTACACACAGGCCTTTTAATTTTAAACTAGTGATAGATAATCACTGCAGAAATTCACACCTACAGCCACCGGGGTATGGGTTTTGGAGAGATGTTGAAGAAGCCCTGCTATGCAAGATTATCCTCAGCAAGCCCTGTCTTTGAAACTCTGGGAATTCTTGCTGTTAATATAGAGAAACCACACATTGGTTCTCTCCTCCTCTCCTTGCTTGAGCTAACATATCTTGTCCCCATTTTCCTGCCTTCTTATGTGAGTCCTGACTTTCTAGCTTTTACATACTCTAAGGAGAACATCTCCACTCGGTATAGCATTACCTCGCCCACAGCTAAGTATTCTGGTAAAAGGGGAAATGTATACAGTTGGTGGAAATGTGGAGGTAGGGCAGCATACTTAACTTGGTTTTGAGTATACTGTTGTGGTCCTCAGTTTTCTAGTTAAAGAACCTTTGTTTACAGTGGGATGAGTCCTCTATGCTACCTCTTGATATATACTTTGTGTCTGCTGCAGGCTCCATTTCCTAACGGTGGATTTGTGAATGGCTTCAATTCACCAGGATCGTACAAGACAAATGCTGCTGGATTAAGTATAGCTCGCCCATTCCATAGAAACCGGTAAGAAAACTGGCCACACCCTTTTTGGGAGTCCTATGACTGCATCTGTCTTGTTAGCCATTCTTTTGATCAATGCAGCTTTCTCCCTTCTGTCAGTTTAGCCATTCGGCGACAGATTCCGGTTCAGAGAACTTTCAATTCCAAGCTAGAATTTGCTTCCACTGTTCCTAGGATTAGCTGGGAAACAGCTTCATAAATTTATATTTGCTATAGCTCACCACGCAAAATGTTTTAAGTCTTGGGTGTAGTTCGCAATAAGATTTGCTGCTGTTCTTGTGATATGCATGGGCCATGGGATTCTTGGCTACAAGCATGTCTCCACCCCTGCACTGAAGGCAATGACAGGTTGTGAAGGGAGGAAGAAACCACAGATTTTTACCATGCTTGCTGTGCTCAGGAGAAGCTGCTTTCACAGCAGCTCCACAAGGTGTGAGACCAGCAGCAGGGAGAAGGTAGGGAACTTTCAGACACCCTTGCCCACTCCTGTTTGAACTAAGCAGAATTTAACCCCCACTGTTCAGCAGTGATTAAATCGTGCTGCCTTAGGTGCACAGCCAATGCAGAATTTAATACTTATCAGTGGCATCAGCTGATGGGCATGTGGATGTGGTTTAGGGGAACAGGCTATGTGGGCCAAATTGGACCCCTTGCAGGCCAAAATTTGCCTGTGAGCCAGAGGTTCCCAACCCCTGCATTGCAGGCTCATTCTTCTGTTGTATTGAAGTGTTTATCAGTGACACACTTAAAGGAATGCTTTCTGCAGTTGGGTGTGCAGTGGAGGAAGGTGTCGTGCAATTGTACAGAACAACATTTCAATGATAAGTTCATTTCAAGCTACTTCTGTTATAACAGACATATTGTCTCCACCTCTGTAATTCATTTACCAAATTAGACTCTGTTCTGATACAGCTGTAAAGATTTGAGTGTAGATATGCTCATTCATAAAAGAAGAAAAAGTCCAGTAAATGGGAACAACTCATAATTACTGAAAATGATAGTGTGCTAGGTTAACACAGTCATTGCTTTCTGTGAGATTTCGTTTGCAAACAGCCTTTGTACACATTTGGGGGAGGCCAAAGTTCAGGGTTGCCAGACAGTATCACTAACAGAAGTTGGACTATGATACAGTAATTTCAGCAACAACGGGACCTGTGCTACTGGTGTTTTAATTTTAACCGAAACTCAATAAAATTTGATTTGTGCAGGCACTTGGCTTTCTAAAGCCTTTAGTAAGACAGGCTGAGACATTTTGGTATGGACTGAGTTTTAGATGCCTCCAGCATGTGGAACCTACTTTCTGTGGAATTGCTTGTACTAAGTGAAAAGCTGGGGGAAATGTAGAAGATGCTGAGACGTCCTCTTTGTGATTATCAATATCTTTCATATCCTAATTTCTCTTTCATATCCTAACTGGTGTTTCCTGCTTGGCAGGGGATTGGACTCGATGGCCCTTGTGGTCTATTCCAACTCTATGATTCTAATTTACAGTTGCCATAGCTTTGAGATTGACTAGAAAGTTTCAGCGTCTTATGTTTTTAATCTAAACCAGAAGATGTTCTGGTTTAGGCAATATGAATGTGTATCTGTCTTTTCCAGCTGTTTTAATATTATTACATGACTATATAGTAAGCTTTTAAAGCTTGGTTTCAGAGCCTTACGAAACTATCTAACCACATTGGAAAATGATTTTCTCCTTACAAAAGTATTTTTGTCAGGGGGCATACATTTTAGGAAAACAAATATCTTGGCCTGCCTTAACTATGTCGCGCCCCTCCCCCCCAGCTGAACAAAATATTTCTAATCTTTGAGAATATCCTGTAGGATTAAATCACACCACAGCTTTGGAGATACATGTTCCTCTGAGTAATATTTCTTGACAGATCAGACGGTTGTGCGTTTTTTATTTTATGGCAGCATCGAGAATGAGATGTGGATTCTGAGTATCAGCCCTGTGATGATAAATATTGCACATGAGAGAAAATGGGCCTAACAATCGAAGTCTGAGCATCTCTTAATATTCTCATACTTTTCTCTCCTGCTGTTTTCTTTCTTTGGCCTCTCTTTCTCTTGCTTAGGCTAAGAATGTGTGCCCTTCTCAATGACAGCTAAGATTATGAGATCTGAGGGCTGGCTCACACTTTGAATCCTGGTTTTAAAAGCTTCATATTTCTATTTAATTGTACTGTGTCTTGGTCATAGCATTATTCTGGAATTTGTAAACTGTTCATTTGGTTATTACTAGTGTGATTTGGATTGTACTACACTGCAATTCTTCAATTTCCTATAAGGAGTCATTTCTCAAAAGAAAAGCTATAGAAGTCTCTGCATTTAGGTCTTAAAGCATTCTGGACCCTCTTGGCAGTTTTTGTTGATGTCCTGTGATGACTTTGATAACCCTCTTGAAATGGGAATGAATGGATTAGCTGATTCCAGTTACTGCAAAAAGAAGAAGTAGTTACCAACTGGTTTCTAAATATATTTCAGACTTTTGCAAACTCATTTGTGACATTTGAAGTTGAATCAGTTTACAGTTTGGGTCAATAAAGAGTTTTTCCATTAAGGATTAGATTTATTAATACTGTGATGCTAAATTGATGGCTGTACACCCCCTCCACTCACAACAGACAGAATAGTTTAGCAGGGTGTGTTCTGCTCAAACCCACCTTACAGTGTTTCCAGCTAATACTGAGTAAGTCTGTTTAGGACCCCCCCCCCCAAAAAAAAATATTTGAGTGTTTTCAAATAAACTACTTGCACCTTGATCCCCTAGTGGCAAAGGATTTCTTGGAGTTATTTGCCTCTTGGGCCTTCCTCACAGCGATGCGATTCTTTATTGGGACATGATAATAAATTTATAAATACATTTTTTTTATACCCCGCCCCTCCTGGTTCAGAAAACTGGGCTCAGGGCAGCTAACAACAAATTTAAAACACTTAATTGTAATAATACATAGAAGCAGCATAAAATACAGTATAAAAGTATGGATGACAATAAAATTGAAAGTTCAAAAATGAATTTGGGGGAAATCCATCCAATAAACATTCGATAGTCACAAGGGCTAGCTGGCTGAATTAGTCCTACTTGAGCCAGCAAGGAGGCCAGGGGAGAATTTGCTGTGGGGTCCCAGAGCAGGTAATATTCATAAAATGGGAGGGGGAGGAAAGAGAAGGGAAATAAAAGATCAGGCTGAATTCAAATTAAAGGCCAAGCGGAATAGCTCTGTCTTACAGGCCTGGCGAAAGGAGATTAAATCCTGTAGGGCCCTAGTCTCATGGGACAGCATTCCACCAGGTCGGAGCCGTCACTGAAAAGGCCCTGGCCCTGGTGGAGGATAGTCTGACTTCCTTCGGGCCCAGGACCTCTAAACTATGGTTATTCATGGACCTTAAGGTCCTCTGCGGGGCATACCAGGAGAGGCGGTCCCGTAAATACTATGGCCCTAAGCCACAAAGGGCTTTAAAGGTCAAAACCAGCACCTTGAACCATGAGCCTATACTCCACCGGGAGCCAGTGCAACTGGTAAAGCACTGGGTGAATATGCTCCCATGGCAGGGACCCCATGAGGAGCCTTGCTGCAACATTCTGCACCCACTGGAGTTTCTGGGACAGTTTCAAGGGCAGCCCCGTGTAGAGCAAATTACAGTAGTCAAGCCTGGAGGTGACCGTTGCATGGATCACTGTGGCCAGATCAGGGTGGGAAAGGTAAGGGACCAACTGCTTAATGCGGGGAAGATGGAAAAATGTCGCCTTAGCTGTTGCTGTAACCTGCTCCTCCATGGAAAAGGTGACTTCAAGGATTACACCCAACGGAAGGCACTGGCACTAATTGGGCCCCGCAAGAGAAGGGTGTTGGTCCCTCATCCCCATGCCATCCCAACCCAGCCATATGACCTCTGTCTTTGAAGGATTTAGTTTCAGTCGCCTCCCACGAAACCATCCAGTCACAGCCTTCAAGCATCTGGTCAGTGTGTCTGGGGCTGAGTCGTTGTAGCCATCCATCAGCAGATGGAACTGAGTGTCATCAGCATATTGGTGCTCCAGCCCAGAGCTCCGGACAATCTGGGCAAGGGGGCGCATAAAGATGTTAAAAAGCATTGGGGAGAGGATTGTGCCCTGCAGCACTCCACACACCAAGGAGTGGTCGCGACATCTCCCTCCCTAGCGCCAGCCTCTATCCCCGACTAGAGATAAAAAAACACAGCCATTGTCAGGCTGTGCCCTGTATCCCCAGGTCGGCGAGGTGGTGGTCCAGAAGATCATGATCGACCATATCAAAGGCTGCTGACAAATCTAAGAGAATCAGCAGTCCCGACCCGCCTCAATCCAGTTGTCTAGGGAGATCATCTGTTAGGGCGACCAGAGCCGTCTCGGTCCTGAAACCAGGACGGGAAACATACTGAAATGGATCTAAAGCCAATGTTTCCTCCAGAAACCTGCCAAACTGTTCAGCAACCGATCTCTCAATTACCTTACCCAGATATGGAAGATTTGAAACTGGGTGGTAATTGGATAGATCTAAAGGATCTAATGAAGTTTTGTTTAAGAGCTGACACACCACTGCTTTCTTCAACTCCCTTGGGAATGTCCCCGTGAAAATAATCATGACTGCATTTGGGGACCTTATTTTACAAGCTGTAAGCTTAGTGTTAACTGAAGAAGAAGAAGAAGAAGAGTTTGGATTTGATATCCCGCCTTTCACTCCCTTTAAGGAGTCTCAAAGCGGCTAACATTCTCCTTTCCCTTCCTCCCCCACAACAAACACTCTGTGAGGTGAGTGGGGCTGAGAGACTTCAAACAAGTGTGACTGGCCCAAGGTCACCCAGCAGCTGCATGTGGAGGAGCGGGGAATCGAACCCAGTTCCCCAGATTACAAGACTACCGCTCTTAACCACTACACCACACTGGCTCTCCTGGGTACCACATCCATACAGGGAGTCAATGCATATTGAAACTGAGTGGGGTTTTTGTTTTTTTAAAGGGGGAAGTAATGATCTGTTTTAACATGATTAATTGCACCCCAAAAAAGAAAAAATATGGCGACCCTTATTTTGCCCTATATTTTAATCTCAGAATAGGTGAGGAGAAAGGAAATGGGGGCACGCTTGTTTGAAAGTAGGAAATGAGTGGTTGGATTTTGAGCTGAACCTGAAAATGGATTAGAGTGATTATATAGATACACAACTTGACATGCTGGTGGCCAAATGTGTTGGTGGCCAGTTTAGTTTGTTGACAGGAGCACCTTTTTGTACTGTTGGGTTAATTTATGTCCCCGTATTTTACATATCCAGCGTGAAGCCTCATTTCCGATTGTCAAGTAGTTCTGAACATTCTGCTGAAGGAACATCCGCAGTCAGTGCTGTGTCCGTAGGAGATGGACAACTTCACAGAGCCAGCTCAAGGAACTTCCAAACGGAACGGCAAGCAAACTCATTGTCAGGACACCAAGATCAAAGCTATTCACCGAAGGATTCTTCTGTTACACAGATAGAGCAAAATGGTGATTATGGCATGAGCCGAGGCAGGTAAGGAATACATCATTTACAGGTGTGCTTTAAGGTTTCTGCCAGCTATATAAAGCTGCATTATAATGAGCTAGATCGTTGGTCTATCTAGCCAAGGATGTCTGTGTTGACAGGCAGTAGCTGTTGTCAGGCAGGGGTCTTTCTCAGCGCATCCAGTGCTCTATTTTGTCAGCATTTGAACCTGGGACTATTTTGCTACAGTAAAGTCTCAAAGCTACTCTTAAAACAAAGTTCTACAAACAAATGAAATTCATATAAATGCTGTTCTTAAATTTAAAATTCAAAATCAGGCAGACTAAAAGTGAATAATAAGAAAGGAAAATACCCCCTCTCAGATAAACTTTGAGCTAAAGTAGTCCCCAAAATCACCACAATATTAACACTGGTGCTGGAAAGATATTACTGTTAATTCTCTGAGGGAACCTTCTCTCTGCCAGCTCTAGGGTGTCCACAAAACCAGGCAAACTCCAATAAAACACAGGGAATAAAAGATGTGTGGGCATTTAATCATATCAATAAGCTGTTGACAGTTTTAGCAGCTTTTAAAATAGTTAGAAAGTTCATGGAAGCTTCCCTTTGCTTATTTACAGGAGAAACATTTTCAGAGGTCGGAGAAGGCGGGAAGATGACAGACTTGTGGTAAGGTTTTGGGCTTACTAAAAGGAATATTTGTACAGTCATACCTCGGGTTGAAGTTGCTTCAGGTTGAGCGTTTTCGGGTTGCGCTCTGCGGCGACCTGGAAGTAACGGAACGCGGTACTTCTGGGTTTCGCCGCTCGCGCATGCACAGACGGTCAAAATGACATCATGCACAGAAGCGGCGAACTGCGGCACGCGCAGACACGGGTTGCGTTCTGCTCTGGATGTGAACAGGGCTCCGGAACGGATCTTGTTTGTATCCAGAGGTAGCACTGTACTGTAAAACAGCCCCTGTGATGGCCCTTCATGTGCCAAAAGAGGTTCTGTCATTTCCAAAATAGTGGCTTGGATCATTCGTCCCTTCTGCCCAAACAGTGACCCTTCTCTTCATTCCCACCTGTATTGCACATAATGGAATTTGATTTCACAGTCATACTACTCTCAATTTCCATTGAATATATTTTCTTGAAATCTCATTTTGTGTGAATTTCAATAGTACTTGGATATTTTCTCACCGATATGGATCACAGCGATACCTAAATACAAGCACTTGGGACTTCTGAAGAGGATGTTGTGGCTGCTTTTTGCTTCTCCTTTGGTCCTGCGATTGCTGTGCATGAAGTCGTGGCTTGCTTGGTTTAGCATATCGTCTGGACCCAGGCCTGTGGTTTGTCTCCAGACAAACCACAAGCTGTGTAACCACAGTTTGTTCTTAGGCTTACTGGAAGATGCAAATGATGAGCCTGGGTGTGGATGGCAGGCTAAGGCAAATCATGGCATAGCTCACAGCAGTGCAGCAGCAGCACGACTGCAATCTTCTATCCAGGAATCTAATTGCTCATGCTTTCATTGAAAGCCGCAGTCTGATTTAGCATTGCGTGTGAACCCGTTCACTGTATTGCATGAATATGGCTTGCAAGGGTATCTGGATGGAGGGAAGAAGTGTGTTACTCAATTTCTTCTCTGGATTGAATATTGATTGGGTGGGGCATAGTATGTTACTCCTTCACCGTATATTAACATGTTATCTTCTTTTTTAGCGGCCTCCGCCTTCAGCTGAAACTAAGACTTTGACACCAAAGTTTGACTTGCTAGCCTCGAATTTCCCTCCATTGCCTGGCAGCATGATAAAAACACAAGGGGACCCAGTCTTAGAGAGTAGGATGTCGGACGTTGTTAAAGGAATAAGCAAAGAAAAGGTACCTAATCTCAGTGCTTGACCTAATCTCAGAGCAAGAAGGGGAGGTTAGAGTGAGTCTAGTCCTAATCAAGGGCACAGATTGTTAGAAGAGAGCGGGAAGTGGCTGCCTCCCACCAACCTGGCCCCAAAGCCTGTGACCAATAATAAAACAAATGCACCCCTGTCTTGGAATGCTTGCTACACAGTGCATAACCTTGTCTTGCTCCAAGGGGTCCATACAGGAGCACTACGTCTAGTGGGGCTGAATGTCTGGGTGAGAAATCTGAGCCAGGATTATTTCAGCCACCCTTGTAAATAAGCCCATACAGGTTAGTAGCCTGCAAAATGTTTAGTTGCCTGCTTAGGGGCTCACAAAAGAGGGAAGGAGAGTGAAGGTCAGGAGGCCAGTGCCCTGGAAGGTGTCACCAGTGATGCTTGCCCTGGGCCTGCCTTTATTTTTTATACTGAATCAGTGCTAGGTACCTGAGTATAGCCACCATTTAAATATCCCACCATGCCCCTATGTAGCATCGCTTTGGAGCCTGCCACTGCTATCAGCTAAGCCTGCCACAGGGCCCAGTGACAAGAGTTGGAGACCCATTAGATACAAGTTTGCTGAAGGCCCCATCAGACCTGTAACTGGTCCTGTGAAGAGATCTGCCCCCCTCCCCCAGTAGCTTGCTCTAGGTTTGTACTGAGTATGGAAATGGCTTGCCTCCTCTGAGGGCATATCTAGTTTTCTATTCTTTGAGCACAGGAGGGACTGAGAGCTCCATCCCTCCTCTGCCAATTCCCTCACTCACCTGCATGCAGTTTGTGGCCACTGTGGCTACCAGGCTAGTGCTTTAAATACAAGACTGAGTTCACCCCTGCTATGGCTGCTGGTGTGTGCAGTGCTGGAGTAGACAGGTGCAGCTGCTTTTACAACCTTGTAAAGGATCCATTTTAATGTATGTACTCTGCGGGCTTGATTGAATGACATTCCTATTTTAAAATGTTTGTGTGCCCCTAGTTTGTGGCTGTGACTCATGTGAGTTGTTATCTTAGTCTGTATTGTTGAAAACATCGTTTCTTTTGCTTCCTCTAGGAAAACAAAGAGTTGCCAGCCGATTGTAAAACATCTACTCAGGAAGAGCAGGGCCAGAGTACTGTTCAGCCTGTCATGAGTGCCAGTTCTCCCTGTGAGATTGATGTTCCTGGATTAAGGTAAGGAGACAAGTGTTAGTTTTAAGTTGCACCTGGAACTAAGTAGCTGCATTGAAAGGGAAGGGCAAATATATTTATGTTTGTTTTAGTACTAGAGGCATTTTCTGCCACCAGGCTGTTCAAAGTGACATGCAATCAATAAAAAGAAAAAAGCAAATTACAGGGCAGCTAGTTAAACAAAAGACAACAGCAAATATCAATAATAGTATGGGTGAAAGTTGCAGCTATACTCAGAATGCCCTGCCCTTTTCCCTTTAATTGATGAATGCTTTGTGTACTCTTCATGTTTGTAAGAAGTAGTTCATGGTGCTGCCTATCTCCTCAGATGTCTGGTAACAGATGATTCTGTTTTAAAAGGTACTGTGCAGTAATCTGGGTCCCCATATCTGGTTATACTGAATATCCTTAAAATATGTAAACAATTCCTAAGAGCTCACTTGTGAGTCTTAAGAGCAAGCAGATTAAATGGAGGAACATGGTTGCACTCGGAGCCAGTTCAAACATAATTCTAAGCCAAACAATGACTTGGTGCTGATGAGCTTCTGCAGTGAAGATTGAGACCATAGCACACTTCCGGTTTTGCTCTGTTAACCAAGGAGAATCCGTGGTTTGCTTAGTGTTATGTCTGAATCTGGACTCGTAGTTTGTTTCCCCTAGAGAAGCCACAAGTGGTAAACCCAAGAACCAAGCTTTTGCTACAGCTAGTGGTTTGAAGTGAGACAAATCACGAGCCTGATTTTAGACCTAATACTAAACCAAACCATAGCTTAGTCCTGGGTAGCACTGCCAGACCAGGGGAGGAGAACGGTGGCTACACCCACATATTTGTGGCCACCCACATATTGGCTTGTTTTGTGCCAAGCCATTTATTTGGCTTTACATTCCATGCAAACTGGGCTATTGTATTTTAATGTTTGTCAGAGAAATGAATATAAAAACAATGAAAAAAATGTGTTGCTCATACGACTAGTGCATAACAGAACAAAAAAGGAGCAGGACCTATGATGTTATGATTAATTATGTGGGAGTGGGCTGGCATTATGTGTGATGATGCGTTCAACATGCACACAGGGAAGGGAGCATATGGAATCTGTGCCCCCTGCCTTTAGATATGTTCCCATACCTGGAAAATGATTGCTTTGGATGCAAGAAATCATTTCCAAGAAGCCCTGCTAGTTCCTGTGCAAGGTGTAATATCAAACTCTCATTGGATTTACCAGTGCCACTCAACCAGATAAGTTGGAAGAGGTCCAAGCGCAGAAAGAGGTTGCAAGCCAGACTTCGCCACCTTCACCTGTGTGCCCCCTCAGTACTGTAAAACCACCTAGGACAAACGCCACTTCATCTACAACCAGTACGAACACGATACCTACTGTGACAGTACAGGTAAGGGTGTCTGCTTTCAGTGGGTTTTCAATGACTTTAATAAACACCTCCAAGCCTTGGGGAATGTGGGAATTTCACCCCAGTATTTGCAGTGAAGGTTTGTGTTCGGATGGAGGGGGCTGTTGACAAAAATACTAAAATAAACTTTTGCATTGACTGAAGAGAAACTACAGTGGTACCTCGGGTTACATACGCTTCAGGTTGCAGACTCCGCTAACCCAGAAATATTACCTCAGGTTAAGAACTTTGCTTCAGGATGAGAACAGAAATCGTGCTCTGGCGATGCAGTGGCAGCAGGAGGCCCCATTAGCTAAAGTGGTGGTTCAGGTTAAGAACAGGTTCAGGTTAAGAACGGGCCTCCAGAACGAATTAAGTACTTAACCCAAGGTACCACTGTACTTGGTTTTTATTTTAAAATGCTCTCCAGCATGCTGTCCTTTTGTATTCTGGCACACTAAAACCTTTCTCTTTGACACCCAAAGCAACCCCGGAAGCTCAGCTATGCTGAAGTCTGCCAGAAACCCCCAAAAGAGATGGCTCCAGTTCCTGTTCAGCCGCTTAGGGAGCTGCGTACCAATGTAACCTCTCCTGCCAAAACAGAAGAAAATGGCACCCATGAAAGAGCTGGAGAGAAGGCGTGCGAAAAACCTGAAGGACGGGTTAAGGACTTTGCGGTCTTCAGGGGCAACGGGCCTCCCAAGGGAGCCGCAGGAAAAATCAGGGAACAGAGGCGCCAATGTGGACGTAGGTCTTCTCCTCAGGGAGCGCCTCGGCGTGTTGGCAAGGAACAGTACGTGCCACCACGATCACCAAAGGAAAATTGATCAAACTTTTTATTTAATCATAACTATGGACTAATGAGCAGTAGAGGAGAAACTGGCCAGCTGTGAGAAATTCAAATGTGGGGAAAGCGGACACTGAATTCAAGAGCACAGAGTTTGCGGTGTGAGAGTGCTTGAAGAGGTCCCAATATTCATCTCAAAGTGATATATAAAATGCTGGAGGAATTGAATCAATATAAATATGATAAAAGATTATAATTTTTGTAACTTTTTTTTTGTTTTAATTTGCAGCGGGTTTCCTGCCTGAAGGTAGAGTTTTGGGTTATGAATTAGTTTGTTGGAAATGAGGAACAAATACATACACACGATAGCATGTTCCTCACCTGGAGAAAGAAGAGGCAAAATATTTTTTTCCCTTTTTTTTTCTTTTTTGAAAAGAGCATTTCTGTAAAAGTTATAAATTACTTTTTAAATCTATTTAATGTACGGCTTGTAGGATGATGTGTATGCCATTAATGGCCTTGCATTACAAATCAGCCCCAAAACTGACATGCTTGGTCAGTATGAATGAGTGTAGCCACATACTTGTTATGTCATGATTTAGTCACTGCTGATAACTGAATGTACTACTGTAGTATTTTGTGTTTTGGAAATGTAGTATTTGAACTTACTAATTTTGGTCAGCTTTTAAAACTCTGTTTTACTTTGGATTATACAAACAGCAAGATTAGTAAACGAATAGTGGGCAAGGTTTTAATTTGTACTTGCTTTCCCCCTAATTAGGGATTGCATTATTTTTATTTCCCCCCACTGCTTTAGTATTTTTCTCTAAATCTTTATTACAGAATTATGCACATCTAGCTGGAATAGTCGTTCCAGTACTGATGCAGGACTAATACAGAAAAAGTGCACAGCAGTCCTTTTCTTGGTATCACATTTAATGACCTTGGATTTTCATCTCTTCAGTATGCTTAATTGTGTAGAAGTGAGGCAAGTCAGTTTGAAGTTTGGCCTTGCTATGATACATGGATGGGCCTCTAGAGTGACTTGCATTGATAGATACTGTATATTGAAAAAGCTCTTTCTACTGAAAAAAGCACTTCATACTATACTGGAAATCAGGTTTTGTGTAGAGGGCAGACTTTTAAAACAGCAAGTTTGGTAACTAGGTTTCCTCGGTTTTTTAGAGGTGATAGCCATGGAAACTTCCAAGTTAGTCTGGAGAACATTGGAGAGGATTTTTACATAGCTTTATGTTAATTAGATTAACAACATTGTGTAACGAGCAGTCTGGGTTATAAGCTGGTAACTGTAGTAAGTCATAAAAGGAATAGGAAAGCTACAACAAGTTAAATCTGCCAAATCTGCATGCTAGGGTTCAAAGTTCTGTATTAAAGTGTTAGGGGAAAGTATCTTGCAACAACAAAGTGTACCTTTCTTTAGTTAATAGCAAGTATAACAAATCTAAAGTTGTTAGTTGTGAACACTGGAAAATGCAGTTGCGAGATACTACCACATCCTAGTTTATATATGCTAGTGATAACTTTAAAATGTCAGTGGCAGATAAATAATTTAACTGTGAAAATGTTCATCTTCTGATTTTCTTAGCCAGATAACCCTTGGCAATTTTTACTCAGTAGGCATTCTCTATCAATGGCTTTGAGAACACTCATATCTATTTTTATAAGTATATAAATATATATATAAAGTTAGATTTGTCATTTCTCTAACTTATTATTCAGCTTGGCAATCACTTTTTTATTTGATTGAAAAGTGTATATGTACTTACATAGTTGATATTCTTTTTTTCTATGCATGTTATTAATCATTACTCATTTTAAAGTACATGTGCTGGGTTTGGCAGTCTTTAAATTTACACAAATCATTGATCACATCTGTTAACACAGAAACCCATTTTGGTTTACTCATAATGCTATTTTTGTATGGACATAACCCACAAAAGGTGAAAAATATTTAAAAGTGTTAAGAACGCTGCAAAATGTATAGAAGAGTACTTCAAAAATTCTTTAAGATCATAAATCTAATTACTGCACTTGGATTGGAAAAAAAGGTTGAACTGTGACAGTTATCCTTAGGGTAGACACGTATTGTGACATTACAAACTAAAGATGTATTTGAATTTATAAGAGCCGACAGGAATTCTGGAAATATATATATGGTTGTCTGTCATTCAGAGAGAATGTAGTTGCTTGGAAAGGGGCTAGTCAAAACAAATTACCTGGCAATGTGAGTGTGTGAAACCTAACCCTGCGTTATGTATCCACGTATGGGTAGAATCTTTGTTCAAAAGCAGATCAACTTGAAAGTGTAGCTCTTTGCTTTTTTGGATGTTAAAAAAACAGAGCTCACAATTGCTTTCTTGTGAGTTAAAAATCTTGACCTATGGAAGGGATGTGTTATACACCCTGAGTGTGTGTGTGTGTGTGTGTGTGTGTGTGTAGGTGGGTTATGGCTCTTGTGCAATGTATGTGTTAAGTGTGTAAAAACAGCTTTTTCCAGTGTAAAGTTGCTACTCTTGAGGGCTCAGTATTTGGTAACTATCAACTCAATTAACATAGCCTTCCCCCCCCCTCAAATCTACTATAAACTTTTAGGTTTAGAGGAAATAACGAAGTAAATGCAACTGTTAAAAAGAGCGCGGACAGTGTGTGCTGTTAACTTTTCTTGCAGTTATTGCATGATTAGAAACTTATCTGGGCTCACTATTGCTCTTGTCCATTCTCAGGCAGTGTCTTGAGTCTCCATCCATCAGTCTTCCCATATTACTTTGGAAACAAGAAACAACATCTTTAGAACTAGATTCACTGCTGGCAATTCTGCTGTTTTATTGTAAGAATGTTGAATGTGGCAGTGCTTGTTTTCTGCATAGTTTTGCATTAAAGTGTTAATGGACAAAGCATTCTTATAGTTACTGGGAAATTGAGGCAGTGAACAACAACATGTGAACCCTTGTCCTTTGTCTATTAAAAAATACTGGATGAATGTAATATATACCGGCATAGCCTGTACTGGTAAAATAACCAAAACAAGCATTTTCATTGTAAATATTGAAACAGTGGAGATGAAGCTGATGTTTGCATTTCATCCATAAAACATCAGTGTCAAAGCTGTCTACCTAAATGCCATTACCTTTCACCTTAAAGGTCAGTAATGGACAGACATGCCTGTTGAGTCTTATCGGTTGAAATAATAATTCATTATAATGGCAAACAGCTTTCAGTTTCCTCAACTCTTATTTGTTGGTGATTTTATGAGTGTTCTGAGTTTTCCTCCTTTCATGGTTTTAGGATTGGTAAATAACTCTGGGTCCTATTATTGTACTTATGTTCTGGAAGGGAAAAAGGGGGGAGATACTCCGTTGGCATGGAACTTAATATTCCTGCTTTCTTTTCTTTTCTTTGATTTAGCTTGGCAGAAAGTGTGATGCAGATTTAGCAGTAGGTTAAACTAAACCCATCTTACTGACCAGAAGAAAACTTAAAAGATGAAACTGGGGCAGATCAGTAGCAATTAAGTGACTTAAGCAATGCTTTTATTGTAGTAAAATAGCTATGGCCTTACTATTTCATCAATATCGGCTAAATGTCTGAATATGTTCGATCTTTTTACTGTTACCCAAGTGAATATTCACATGAGAAAAAAAAATACCTGCTACATGTGTACAGATTTCAAATTTGTAAAATGCAGCATTATATAGACAAAATGCAACAGAAATGCACTTTGGGTTGGGGGGAGCTTAAACTTTTGTAAATTGTGATTACAACAAATATGCAATAGGTTTTTTTCTTTAACTTTTGATATTTCCTTCTGAAACATAAGATTGTTACCATTAATCTTTAATGGCCTATCATGCTCTTATGTGTGCGTATGTATGTGTGTTTGAGAGAGAGCAGATATTCTTTGTGTGGGTTTCCTTTAGGATGGTACATTTCATTTAAAAAATATTCTTTGGATGAAAGTTAGCTGGGTCTCCAGCCCTGGACTCTGGAAGACATCTGATGAGTGTATTAATGTAGGTTTCAGAGGATATTAAATGGAAACTAATCGGTCTTCAAAGTAACCTGTAACAGCTTCAAGAATTTTATATTTAATAGCTAGAGGGTGTGTGTTTTTTACAGAAGATTGTCATGGATAAAATCCCCCCCTCAAATATATTTCTGATGTAACTGGCTAGTGCACAAATGGTTTCAGTTCTTCAGTCAAAACCACTCAGCTATGTCTCTCCTGGAAAGGTTTGGTTTCTGATATTTATATTCTCACTTTTCTGTGAGACTTCTGTTTAAAAAAAAAGAAGTAGTAATTATCTGGATTCTCTACTTTGTCAGTTTGGTTTATTCCTGTTGTCAAAGCTGTCTAAAACAAAAAATGTGTAAAGTAGGTTCATGCTTAATTGTTAAAATTATACATGTATTTGTATTTGTTTTTGACATTGCCAAGGTGCTATGGGAAACTGAAATAACCGTTAGAAGGAAATAATAAAATCCACCTTAAAAAGACACACATCCTTTGTCCAGATGCTAAATGACTTGGTATGCCGAATAAGTGGAAGACTTATTACTCAAAACCACTAACCGATCAAAACGGAAGGACGGGCAGGAACTATATGCCTGAAGCTAATTGTTGAGAGACTCCTAAATAGGTGGATCTTCAATGCCGTTATGGCAGACAGGCTACTTTGGATGTTGGTTCTTACCCATACGGCTAATTAACTACATCGGGAGTATAGTTTTAGATTGGGAAGGTTAACCTGTGGCGCTCCAGATGGTGTTGCCCCCCAGTCAGCATGGGCAGTGGTTGGGGATTTTGGGAGTTGTAGTCCAAGAACATATGGAGAACCACAAATCTGACCACCCCCCGCTATAGAGGACGTATAAGTCAACAGCATTCATTCTTTTAAATTTCACCCTGAAACATAAAGCCAATACTTCAGTTGGCCAGTCTGACCCAGTACAATGGAAACTATGACTTCTGTCCTCACCGATGTTATTTCACTTTGGTTTTTATCCTCTGTTGTTTTTTTACAATAGAACTACATGTAGTTGGAGCCTCACCAACTACTCAAAATCATTCAGTTTGAAAGGGAGGGCTGTTGCAAAGGAGTGAGGGAACAGTAGGGTGGTTTTTCTGTCTTCCCCAGGAGGGGCAAAAACAACTTGGTGATGGCATGACTTTTCGCACAAAGATTGTAAGAAGAGTTGAGTCACTTCATTCCTCCCTGCTTTGAATTGTGGCGTTTGTAAAATTATGGGAAGTTGGGGGGGAAACCACAGACCTACATCCTATGACAGCCTAAGTGAATATTCCCCACAACTACATGAGATGTTTGTTAGATTTACACTTTTGCTAGTCGTCGCCTGATGATTTATGGAAAAGCAAACTCCATTTGACAACATTCTTTGTGGAACCTCCATTGAAAGGTTTGTGAATGTACTGGCACAGCAGTGATAAACCCGCTGTTTATTTTGTGGGTTGTATAAAACGGCATATATGGGTTTTTCCAGTCTTCACATGCAGAAGGGGATCAGTTTGCCAGTTTTATTGAATTGCTATAAGAAATACACATACTTGAACAAATAATGTATAAAAATTATTATACAATTAAGGTAACATAAGTTTCAAAACTTGGTTATTTGTATTAAAACATTTCCTGAAGTATTTCCATATTTGTTTCCATCATGTACCTTGTCACAAAGTGTGAAAAGTCTGGGGGAAGCCTCAATTCCTGACTACATTTTATAGATGAGGATTCATTACCACACAAATTAGCATTGCTTTCAGCCTTACTATGAAAACCAGGAATGGGGAACCTTCATACATAACTGTTTTACAACTTGTCACTTATGTTGGCTGATGGGAACTGGAATTGACACATCTGGAGGACCACAGATTTCCTGTCCTGGAGTAAGCAAAGGAATCTCAAATGAGCAAAGGAATCTAGTTAGCGGTTTGAGATTTAAATGCAGTTTGTGAGTGATTTTGACAATATATTGATACGCACAACGTCGCATATCAACCCTGTCTATTAAAGTGGAATAAAATATACTTTCTACTCAATCCTGGAGTCCACAAGCACTACAGTGCACTTAAACACCCCAGCTGCTGCTTGCCAAGGCCCCCTGCCCCACCCCAAAGCAGCTTGCTTTAAACACAAAAAGGTGGTTACAGAGGCATTGATATTTTGACTTTTTGGAGATGAGTGATGAGCATTTGCCAGGTTTTTCATGTCCATGACACGTCATAAATTTTCCAAAATGTGTTGGCCGGAAAAGGTTGAGAACAACTTGCTAATCCCTCCCACGTTGCTTACTCAATTCCTGATCAATCATTCCTGTTCTTGAGCATTGTGTTTCTGTGGTAGGCATTGGCCTTACAGCATTGCCAGAAGCGACCTTGACTTCCAGTCAGGTTTCCTGTATGCATGTCACCATTGAGCATGCTGGCTAGAAGGCTGGATCCTGTAGCTGTCGGATGGCCACAGAGTATGAGAGTGCCTGTGGATGTGACCAAGTCAGTGTAGACGTCGCTGCAGCAGAAGTGTGAACATGCTGGGAATGTGGGCTTGGGAGAGCACATCTTTTTCCCCAACTGTACTGCCATGTGATGCTCCAAATCTCCTTGACTTTGCACGTATTGAAGATGTTGAGGCGTCACTTCAGGGAGATCAACATGCCCCCGACTCACTTCCATAAAGCAACATGCAAGGCAGACCTTTCATCTTAATATTGGTCATTAGCAATCCCGGGGCTAAAACAAACTTGAGCTACGCTTGTGGGGTGACCCACTTCAGTGCTTCTAGAGCCCAGACCCTCCAAGTGTCCCTATTTTCCAGGGACCGTTCTGGATTTACAGAAGCCTTCCTGGATTCTGATTTAATCGTGGAATGTCCCGCTTTTCCTCATGACACCCCTATTTTCATCAAATAAATATTGGAGGGTATGGAGTCATGCGATCGAGTCGAGATAACTAGACAACCTTTCAAAGACATCTGAAGGCAGCCCTGTATAGTGAAGTCTTCTCATGTTTAGTGTTTTATGTTTTATATACAGTGGTACCTCGGGTTACATACGCTTCAGGTTACAGACTCCGCTAACCCAGAAATAGTGCTTCAGGTTAAGAACTTGGCTTCAGGATGAGAACAGAAAGCGTGCTCCGGTGGCGCAGTGGCAGCAGGAGGCCCCATTAGCTAAAGTGGTGCTTCAGGTTAAGAACAGTTTCAGGTTAAGGACGGACCTCCAGAATGAGAAACTGTAGAGTGGTACCTCATTTTAAGAACAGTTCTGTTTACGAACAATTTGGTTTACAAACTCTGCAAAAATGGTAGTAGTGTCCCGGTTTGAGAACTTTACCTCGGTCTAAGAATGGAATCCAAAGGTGCTGGTGGCAGGAAGCCTCATTAGGGAAAGCGTGCCTCTGTTCAAGAACAGTTTCGGTTTAAGAACGGACTTCAGGAATGGATTAAGTTCGTAAACCAAGGTACCACTGTACGTTGGAAGCTGCCCAGAGTGGTTAGAGCAACCCAGTCAGATGTGCGGGGTATTATTAGTTAGTGCTTTTTTTCAGGGCTTACTCAAGGGTACACAGTAAAAGGGTAAAGGGACCATTAGATCCAGTCGTGACCGACTCGGGTTGCAGCGCTCATCTTGCTTTATTGGCCAAGGGAGCTGGCGTACAGCTTCCAGGTTATGTGGCCAGCATGATTAAGCCGCTTCTGGCGAACCAGAGCAGCGCACGGAAACACCGGTTAACTTCCCGGCGGAGCGGTACCTATTTATCTACTTGCACTTTGACGTGCTTTCGAACTGCTAGGTGGGCAGGAGCTGGGACCGAGAAACGGGAGCTCACCCTGTCGTGGGGATTCGAACCACCGACGGCAAGTCCTAGGCTCTGTGGTTTAACCCACAGCGCCACCTGCATCTATTATTTGTTGCTGTTAAAAAGTTTGGCTCTTACTGTAACAACTTCATGGTGATTACCAGCACCTATTTTTCTAGAAAAAAGCTCCTCCTCTTCCTAGTGCTTTTTCTCAGGGGGTTACTCAACGGCATGCAGTACCAGAACCTATTTTTTGTTGTTGTTACAGTAGGAGCCAAACTTTTTAACAACTTGTATTTTTCTAGAAAAATGCACTTCTTGAATAGGACGTCCTTATTTTCATTGGAAAAATGTTGGAGGCATAGGACCCATCTTCTGGGGGCTCTGGGGACTTTGATGCCCCCATAAAATATATGAAGGGGTCCGACTGACCACCCCCTAAAAAACAAGTTGATGGCATTCCCATTGAAACTTTGCACTGCGTCACGTGGACGATGGTACCCCAATATTTTACATCAAGTTGGGAGAATATGGAAGCTTCTGGAAATGCCTCACAAGCGCCATACCAATACTAAGCGCTTTCTTCAGAAGGGAAGTATGGCCCGAGCGAACGCTATCGCGGCGCCGTGCGCTTGTCCGAGGCGGCCAGCGGAGGTCGCCCACGGCCTAGCTAGCCGTGGCGCCTTCGACGGCTAGGCCTAGCCCTGCCTGAGGCGGCGCTCGTTCGGTTCGCGCGGTGGTGGCGGCGCTGCTGCTGCTGCCGGAGCCCGGGCTGGGCCTGCCCGCCTCCCGCCTTTCTCATGTGACCTAGCCGGGGCTCAGCTCGGCTGCGGGGAGGAGGACGAGGCGGCGGCGCTCGGAGGCGAAGCGGGCGGAGGAGGAGGAGAGCGGAGGAGGAGGAGGAGGATCACGGCCATGGCGGCGGGCGCCGTTGCTTGGCGCGGCGGGATCCGGAGCCCTCAGCGCTGAGGGGAGGAAGGAGGAGGAGCCGCCGCCGCTGCTGCCGCCGCCGCCGGAGTCGGCCACTTTTCCCTCCCCATCATGGCTGAGCCGCCAGGCGGTAACGGCGCCGTGTCTCCGCCGGCCAGCTTGCCCCGGGAGGTCCGCGAGCAGCTCGCCGAGCTGGAGCTGGAGCTCTCGGAAGGTGAGCCTCTTCTTTCCAGGGCGGGAACGGAGAGAGGGCGAAAGGGGATCGGAGCCCTTCTCCCCTTCCCTTCCCTTCCCTTCCCACCCCACTCCTGGCACCTTTCCATCGATCGCCCCCTGTTTGGCTAAGCAGAGGGGCATTTCCCCCCTTCGGTTTTGGGGGCAGTGATGGTGGTGGTGGCGGAGGAGGAGGAAGGAGAAGAGGGCCGTTTCTCTCCTTTTCCTAATCCTGCGCTCTTTGCAACCTCCCGTTCCCCCCTTCTCTAGATAATGGCGTTTTCTTCCTCGTTTAGGGTTAGCATGGAGCTGTTAGAGAGGGTGCAAACGAGCCTTTGGCTTTCTTAATTCTTCTTAAGTGTGTGCGTGCGTGTGCTTTTCATTTTTTTTATTGGCTTTCAACTACAATCCAATAATAATAGCCTCGTTGTAGCAATACCAGTTTATAATACAAGTATTATTATCAGTAGTTCAAATATCGAATTTTATCATTTAGATAAGGTGGTCTGTCCCCCCCACGTGCTAGAATTGATGGCTTGGTTATT